GAGGCGGAGGCGGAGGCGGGGGGGAAGACCGGGGCCTCACCCGTGCTGGGATGGGATCAGGCCCCGGCCCCGCGTGCGGCCGATGGGGTGGGAGCCGGGCCGGGCCGGGCCCTGTTCGCAGGGCAGTGCCTGGCAGTGTCGGAGCCGGGGGTTTTTGGCATTTCGAAAGCTCGGGGACCTACTTCAGAGGCTGTGAGAGCCTTGAATCTAGCAATGGCCTTAGGTGTGCTCTGGCCTAACTCCTGTCAATTCTTACTGCTCCCAGGTGTTCAAACGCTTTGTCGAGATTGGCAGAGTTGCCTTCATTTCCTTCGGGCCACATGCTGGCAAGCTGGTGGCCATTGTGGATGTTATTGACCAAAATAGGGTAAGCTATGAGTGCTGTACTTTTATTTACTCCTTTCTGCCTTAAAAGCAGTTTGTACACAAAGACAGAATATAGCGATTTTAATGGAAGTTTTCTGTGTATATATGTTTTAAAGAAGTAAGCAACTGAGAAAAAGATGGGATTTAACAGCTGTTGCTGTATTTGAAACCTTTAGTAGCAAGCTTTTTTCCCTGGCAAGTGATATTTTCCCTCTCTGCTGTGTTTCCTAGGAGTAAAGTGGACAAGTGATGTCAGTTGGAGTCTAGAACTTAAAAGTGGAGTGGCATTAATGTATGTGTAAACCAAATGTTTGGGCTAGGGGACTCTTTTTGCTTAGTGTTCCTGAAAGAGCTGAAAAAAAATGTTATCTTCGTTTTGTGTGCTTTTTCAAAAATTGAATTTGTTTTATTCCCAAAGACAAAGATGGACCTTTAAAATCCTTTCTGTAAAACTTGGGTTGTGTGTGTAAGATTTAACAATCTTGGATTTTGTCTGCATAACACTTCAACTTTGGATGGTGGTTGTCAAGATACTGTTCATGAATTATTAGGAAGTTGCTGTGTAAATCAAGTATGATGGGAAAACTGCTACAAACCCCCTATATCTGTGTCCCTTTTTCAGGCTCTAGTTGATGGCCCCTGCAGTGGTGTCAGGAGGCAGGCTATGCCCTTCAAGTGCATGCAGCTGACCGACTTTGTTCTCAAGTTCCCACACAGGTGAGTTGTTGGTATTTATTTTTCATAAAAATGCTGTCACTTGATACCTGAATTACGTGATCTGATGCTCGCTAAACCTAGAAAGTTCATATAATGGGAAGTCAATAGTTTAACGTGTGCACAAGTAAAAATTTGGCAGAACAGGTTATCATTATGTTATCATGGGTAGATGGTTGGACTTGATGATCTTAGAGGTCTTTTCCAACCTTAATGATTCTATCGTCGTTGAATACACCCAAGTTTTTGTTACCAATATTGGCTGCTCACTGTTGTTCAGGAGCAAAGGAAATGGCACACTGGCCCAGGCAACTTGCAGATCATTGTGGGGTGGATGGTGTAGGGGAAAGCAGTTGCAGGAAATGCTGTGCAGTTTGCTTTCACTACTGCTTAGGTCACCTTGAGACATGAAATATATTCCCTGCCTACAGAACTACGCTGGAATTGCAGGAGGTTGAACTCATTCTGTTCTCTTTAGCTTAGTTACTGTATGAGTTTCTGTAATGTAGAAATTGCTGTCTTTCTGACTGAGGTAGTGCTAGGAATAGCGTGTGAGCACGCCTCTTGGAGTTGCTCATCTGTCAGTCCTGGTGAAGCGTTTACACGACAAATTGTTAATTAGGCCACAGAGATGCATATGGCATTGACATAAACTGAAGTAATGTAGAAGGTTGATGGGAGAGCATCAGAGAACTCTTTTTTATAAAGACCGTGAATGTAACGTTGTGACTGTTCTACTGCAGTGCTCGTCAGAAGTGCGTGCGACTTGCCTGGGAGAAGGAAAACATAAATGAAAAATGGGCAGCAACAAGATGGGCAAAGAAGATTGAAGCCCGAGAAAAGGTACAGTTTTTCACGGGATGAGTAATGCACCTTGTACTGCTTCTGCTTATTAAAATTAGGTGCAATCTAGTAAAGTGTGTATTTTCACAAGATTAAAGATAGGAAGGTGTAGATTTTTTAAAAAGTTGCTACCTAGCAGCTTCATTCTTCTTGTTCAGTTGTTTCTAGAACCACCTTTTTCTTGCACCGTTGCTTCCCAGCAAAGGCCTTAAATGGTGAACTAGTTCCAGATGTGCAGCTAAACCTAATTTGAAGATGATCAGAGTTACTTCTGGAATGCTTTGAAACACTGAGTTTTACTGCTTGCATGTGCATATATCAGAGCTTCATGACTGATTCTTTTCAAACAGAAAGCCAAAATGACCGACTTCGATCGCTACAAGGTTATGAAAGCGAAGAAAATGGTAAGTGTTTTGAGTGTCGTTTATGTTTGGGGTTAATGCTTGTAGCTTTCACGTTAGTCACATACAGATGTTGGTAGCCTTGCTTTTATAGCTGGCTTGGATTGTAGAGTGTCATAATGTATGTGAATGCCTTGAATTTTTTGTTCTGCTTTGGCTACTGCTTTCTCTCAGTCGTTGATCAGATTTGAGCCCATGTGATCTGTGTGCCAGTCTTTCACGTTATAGCTGAGGAAGGAGTTACTTGCTGTTAGTATTGAATTCTATAATAGAAGTCATTCCACGTGAAATATTGGTGTGGCCAGGTTACCAGCCAGAATGATGTTGTCTGCTTGGTAGATCAGAACAGTTTAATGTAGAATCTGACATTTTAAATGTAATACATTATAAGTCTTTTGACTATATAATTGCTTAGCAAAGGGTGATTATCAAAAAGGGCAGAATCTGAAAGCTAATAAGGCATAATACTTGAACTGTTGCTGGTTTCATCCTGATGAATAGCAAACATTTTCCCTTTTTACAGAGAAACAGGATCATCAAGCATGAAATGAAGAAGCTCCAGAAGTTGTCTTCTAAAAAAGGCAAGAAGCCAGAGAAACCAGAGAAGTCAGGGAAGCAAGAAAAGGCACCCAAGGCACCCAAGGCTGAGAAGGTGCAGAAGGCACCGAAGGCACAGAAATAAAATGAACTTCTAGTTATGTCTGACTCTGTGTCCTTGTTCTGATTCTTCAGAATTGACAAATGGTTAAACATGAGTTGAATTGTAATCATAAGTTCACTTTTGCTTCTGACCAAGAATTGTTGTCTGTCTCATTCATTAATGTCCAGGTGTTGGGTTCTCCTGACCCATGGCCAGCTGAAATATTTGCACACTCAGTTATTTGAAGTAGGTATAATTGTGATGTGGTAAAGCAGTCTGCCATTGAAGTGGTTGGCAGTGAACAAAATCACTTGCACAATCTTGGATGTAAAAGATGAGTAATCAGTTACACTAATTTTTTTTAAACCATTAAGTAAAGGGGTCATGACCTAAAAATTATTCAATCCATGTAAAACACTGAAGTGCCTGATTTAGTCATTGCATTATGAAATAATTTTTACATATCTGAATGTCAGCATCCATCTTTTCCTTTGTTTTCTCCTGTGTAGTTTGATGGCAGGGGAGATACTTTCATATTGAAAGAAGAAATTGTGGAAGTCTGAGATCTCTTGTGATTGAAAAGCAAATAATTTTTACAGTCAAATATAAAATGAGGGAGAATGTATTTTTTTAAAAATGAAGGTTGTAAGACCTTCAACTATACTGTCAAACATACTCAAATGCCTACTATTAAAAATACTGAATAAGCATGTGCTTTTAAGTAGTTACATGGCTAGTGTTGGTTATTTCAGCCAGAATTAGCATCTGCCTAAAAAAACCATACAATATTGTCTTGAGCTATGTGTATGACTTTGGAAATTGAGCTTGAGCACATGATTGATATGAGTGAATGTAACGGCTAAGGAAAAAAAAATCAAGCTATGCAAATTGGGATTAAAGCAATGTTCAGGTATCTGAGGATCTTGACTTTAAATTGAATTTTAAAGTGATTAAACCCACCTACTCTGAGAATCTTTAACTTGAAAGTAATTTGAAAGGTATATCAACCTGCAGGTCCTTTAAGGTAAGAGAGCTGTTCCTTAGGGTTGTTTGGGGGTTTTGATGTACTTCTGGTAAGCTCAGTTATGTAAGACCAGGAAAAAATCAGAAGTGCCTGTAGAGAAGATAGATGTGCCTTCAATCATAATGAGCTCTCAAATGCTGTTTCTGCATTATTTGCTCATTTTTAAAGGTGCTTGCTTCCAAAGAGTGACTTTGGCTGTGACTGCAGCAACTTACCTAGCGTTTTCATTCCTACCAGCACCACTCTGCAGCTGCTAAGGTATCCAAAATGTTTCCATGGTACAGAGTGGGGTGTAAGCTGCTTTGCAGCTCTCGTTCTCCTGAATTGGAGCCTTATAATGGTACAAAACCTCAGCCGATGGAGGTACTTCTGTGAAAGTACCATTCTTTTTAGCATTTGGAGAAAATGAGTGAAAAAAGAGAGTATACCGCTCTTGTGGTGTCTTTTTGACTGCATGTTCCATGTGAGCACCATCTGGTGCTCCTTTTAGCAGCTCATGAAACCTCTCAAAACCTTTTTCAGCTCTGTATTGTGTGAGCAGCCCACCTGCCTTCCAAACCATGTGCTACCTGTGCTGCTGTGTCCTTTCTTTAAATCTCCAGGGATACAGAAAGCTACAGAAGTACTGGTTTGTTCCTGGTACTTACCACAGGATGGCAACGTTGGCTCTTTACAACGTTCCTGAGGCTTACCCAAACCGGACAGCCGTGCTGCCTTTCCCTCCATGAACACTGCCAAAAGGGATGGCAAAAAGACGTGAGAGCAATGGATGTGCTTATCCAAATCTTTATTTTGTCTTCATAGCTGGCTAAGATGCCAGTACTTTGCTGGACTAAGGGTATACTACTTTAATTTGCTGCGTGGAGCTGAGTGTAAAGAATTAGGACCTGCTGCTCAGAAAATGTGAACTCCCAGTGTTTATTTTCTCAGTTTATTTTGTGCAGAACACATAGGGAGCTTGATGGCGGAGGGGGGAGGGTACCCTATCCTAGTTTACTTCTGAGAGCAGCAGGTAATTGTCATGCTTTTTAAACCAATCCACATAATTGGCAAACCAAGTCCTAATATCTGTACTGCAAGGTCTGGGAGACCTGAGCAGTTTTAGGAGTAGGATTGGACCCCTTAGCATAATCCATAGTTAAAAGCTGTAAAAAGCACTGTTGCTGTGTACCAGCTGCAGCTCTGGGCTGAATGATTTGCTGGTAAAGCATATTTCTTTGTCTTCTTCAAAAAAGGCTATACTTTAGTGCTTTTGCTTCTTGTCTAAACATGTCTTGCTGTGTTTGACATCTGAATGTGTTTCCATTTATTTTTTTTTGAGATATAATAGATCTGAAAGAAGTCTATCTGGATTTGCTGTTACTGGTTTTCAGATAGTAGTATTCAGACTGTCCTTCAGTTGAGATTTGCTTGATGACCATCATATTTTCAAATCATTTGGTCTTGTTGTTACCTATACGTTAATACTTGTGAAAACCTTCTGCACCACTGATGCTCACCACGGATGTGTGTCAAATCTGGTCCACTTCACAGCTGGATTCACTCTATTTATTTTGCCTTACTTCACTTGTAGTGCCCCTTAAATGTTTCCAGACCTCTGTGCATCTCTTCTTTCCCCCTGCCCACATTGATAAGGTGTCTCTGAAAACTCCACGTGCCTGTCTTTCATCGGGATGAGAAGGTGCTAATTTCTATTTACAGCATTTTTGGTATATGAGTAAGTACAGCTTACAAGCAAGAAGTGGCAAGACGAGCAAATTACGGGGGTGGATGTGTGGTTGGGGCTCTACTCAGTTCAGATCTTCAGCTTTTGGTTCTTACTTTGTATAATTTCTGTTCCTTGTCACTTTGTGGGGCTGACCTCTGTGTCATATTCTCATTTTAAATAAATGAAGAGTTGGTAATTTTTTCCTCACCTCACTTTCAGCAATCATAAGCCAGTCTGAGCGGTCTCCAGAGAAGTCTCTGTAGCAAACTCTTCCTCCTCCCCCATAACCTTTCAGGCCACTTTGTGCATCCAAATGAGAGGAGAAGTCCACCTGCAGCCAGCTATTCGTGCTGATTACCAGCCTCAAAATTATGCCATTGCCACCAGCACAGAGCCACTTCCTCCTCCTTAAGATGCGCTGACCCAGTTCTTATTAGAGAGGAAGTGCTTTTTAACATTTCCCCAGTGGCCTCCTGGTACGAGGGTATTTTTGAGGATATTTTGTTCTGTAACTGTTTGGGAGTGTTGTGCCTTGTGTGTGGTGAGGAGAGGCCCTGGCCAGCTCAGTGTGGCTCTCAGCAGAGCTGAGCTCTTCTGTCGTGTCCGCTTTGGGCTGCTGATGGGGTGTGGGTGGTGTTTCAGGGCGCTGTGATGCTGATAAAGGCTTAGGTGGTAGGATTTCACCAGGAAGCTCTGCTTTGATGAAAATGATAGGGGCTTTGAAAAAGTAACAGTGTTCATATTAAAGTAGCGTGAAAGAATATTATCTTTGAGATCAGCTAGAGCTTTATCTAAGGACACCCAGTGGGAGGGCACAACATCTGAATATTTTTCACCATAACTCAGCAGCCAAGACTTTTTAAAGCCACTGTTTGAACCTCGTATTTACAAAAGCCATCAAACAAAAGAAGGAGCCGTTGCCAGCTGTGTTATTGCAGTCAGATGCTATATAAAGGTGATCTAAAGAAAGGATGGGAAATCGGCTTGCGGGCTTTTTCCTTCTTCCTTCTCTTCCTCCCTGGAGCCCCTGAATAGCTTTAAAGGGATTATTTTCTGTTGTTTATTTTTTATTTCTACCGCTTGTCTCATTTGCATTGCACATGTGAGTCTTAGGTCATCCTAGACTCTCTGTGGATAATGGAAAAAAATCAGTGAGTTTATGGCATAATGAAGTAAATGAAGTCTGACGAGCTGAAAGTGGCATAATTTTTTGCTCTGGTTGCTTGTAGCATGTTTCGAGGTCCAGGGGGAGGCTAGCAAGCTGCTGCTGTTGGCAATGCATGCCAGTCCTCATCCCAGATGGGAGCAGGGTTCCTCAACCCTCAGCCACCTGGACATGACCTTGGAATTGAAGATGTTCACACAGTGGTCATGTCCCTCCTCTTGCTGTTCCCCAGCGTCTGCAATAGCAGGATTAAGGATGCTGGAAGATACACCCCTGTCTATTCCTCTTATTGTCTCTTTTAGATCTACTGTCCATGAATTTGGTCAGTCTTCTGAGTTTGTTCACACTACTTGCCTTCACAATCTTGTAGCAACTTACTTCAGAAATTCACTGCCACTCTGTAGAAAACTGCTCTATTTGGTGTTTTAAACCAGTCTCCCGCTGGGAGCACTAACCAGTGCTTGAGACAGAAGTTACTGTTCAGCCCCATGGCACCGCATGACATCCCTACCAGCTGTAAGCTTGGAGGTGAAGGTGAAAAAATATTACTTCATAGATGAGTTCATGGAAAGGAGGTGAGTTATGGCGAGCCCTCATTCAGAGTGCCGTGATGTGTTATTTGAAGGACCATCAGAGTCACAATTAAATATCAACATGGGCAATTGTGTCATGGGACAATTATTCCAGTAGGAGTCTTAAAAGCATCTGCATGGTGCAAAATGCTCTCTAGCAAATTTCAGATTGTGGGCAGAAAAAAATCCCAATGCTGCGTTACGGGACAAGAGTGCCCAGGGTCCCAGACACTGCCAGCAGCCCTGGGTCACTGCTTAGGAAATTTGGTGTCCTTATGGTCCTTTGAAGGGGACCTACAGCTTGGAGCAAGGTAGCCCCTGACAATCTGACCTTTCTTTCTCACCATCTGGGACTTGTTTCTACTCAAAGCTTGGCTTCAGGGGCTATTGGAGATGATGCAAAACAATCTCTGAGGGCATGGACAGGATGAATGCTTCAAGCCTCCAAGATCATCCCTCTCCTCTTCTACACTGCCCCATGAGGGTGTGACAGGGATTTCCAGCCCCTTTCCTCTCCTCTCTGAAAGTTCCCAGAACTTAGTTCCTCTGATTATTAGGAACTTTCTAATTGTTAACCTAAATTTATTCATGACTGATTTATAACCAGGAGGCTCCACTTCTTGCTTCTGTAACTGCAGAGCTGTCAGGAAAGATTCATGAGCCCGTATGTTGGTCTTGCCCTATTT